GAGATTCGTTCACTCCTTGTTAGGTTTGTGGATACTAGGGAGTGAAGGTAATCCAGCTGATCTTCACTCAAAGGTATGTTACTGCTGGGAACACTCACCTCTGGATCCTCTTCTGAAACAGAAATGGCGTCCTCTTCATCTACCCCATACCAAATTAATTCTTCCTCTGATAAAATACCATCCAGAGGTGAGTTCCTGCCATTTGCAGATCTTAGAATACCCTCAGTCCAAAGCTGAAGAGGAGATGAACCACCTTCTGTGCTAAGGCCATGGTAATTCCACTGCCTGGTAAATTCATCCAGAGATTTCTTAATTTCCTGCAGAAATACAAGGTGAAGTGACAGTAGATGGACTTCATTGATAGGGTCTAACAGACCAGATCTTTCCATCATATTGAACTCGTCTAGATAGCTTCTAAGAATACCACTGGTCACATCTCTATGAAGCCGTTCCACTCTTTGATTGTGCACTGAACTTCCAGTTATCATGCTCCCTCTGCTGACTCCCCAACACTCCAACATCATTCAGGCTACACCCATGTTTTCGAGACCATGGTCACTCCTAACCCTTGAAGGCATTCCATAACTTTGGCAGGCATTCTGAAATAATGCAAGTACTGTATCGGATCTGTTGTTGTTTGCACAGTGCAGATATGGTATCAACCTAGAATATCCATCAATAGCAGTATGTACCACAAGCCGCCAGCATATCATCTTATGGTTCCCACCGATGTGCCACAGTGCATTTGGACCTCGTACATTGTACTTTCTTCAAGAAATAGTTCCTCTCCACCGAAGTGCTGTTCCAACTGGATCCAACTCACGCATAAGTTCCCTGACTTTCCATCGCTGCACTCTTATTCCCCTGCTATGTAATGCACCTATCATTCTGGTTTGACCAATCCCAGGGGTAACAGTCATTATTTCTTGCATGATTTCTCTTAGTTCTCCATTCCTAAGTGAAGACCAGTTAACCTCCCCCTCGTCCTCAATTTCAAACTCTTGTCGTCTTCTAGTTAGAGTTTTTGTGGAAATTCCAATTAGTTCCCCTAGTCTGACCCAAGGAAAGTGCAACTCTTGAAGAAATTGTATTTGCCTTTTAGAAACTTTAAATTTTGGCTGACCTCTTATACCTGTGTAGTTCCTTTCGCATTGGTGAGCTGGCACATTCAATGTGCTTTCACTTAAATCATCTGCTATATTCTCAAAATATACTTGGAGTCTTGTCAAGTATAAGGACAGCTGATCCATGTTGCTATAAAAGTTTCCCATTTCCAACTCACTTATATGACAATGAGCATATCAAACTGGAGTTTAGCACATATATCAAAGGTTTGCAATAATGTCCAGTATGGCGCTCCATAATTTTGGACAATAGAAACCTAGTGCTGAAAAAGAGGGCTGTGACATCTGCACAAGTGATGTGATGAGAGCCATCAAAGAAAGTGTTGTGAATGGAAAAATCACTTGTGAACTAAAAGCAATGTTTTAGAATTGTTTACCCCCTACCTTCCGATGGGACAGTTTTATCTAGTGCAAGGTTGTCCACTGATTTACTATGATTAACAAGTGTCTTGGCATGTACAACAGGCAAATTGAAAGGATTTCCTTTAAGGCCAACAGCAACTGAAATAATTTAACCAGTTTCTGTGATGTATTTTGCAGGTAGATAGCTTTATTAAAATCCATCGCAGCCAGAAGGCTGGATTACAGACTGAAAAAATGTTTACTTAATACTAAACACAAAAAGAATAAAAAAACTAAATTAAAAAAGAGGCTAAAAATTACCATATATGTATATTAAAATTCACATCACACATGATGAAACCATTAGGAAATAGCCACATTGTACATGATAAAACTATTCTTCAGTCTATTTGTTACACCAAAAGGTACGTTAAAAGCATGCTTTCTCCTCAAGGCTACGGTACTAAGATTACATGACAGCAAACGGCCATGTAATTTGTGGTAGGTGTTGTCTTTGATATCACTGAATAGGCGCTCCATCAGCAGTTGGCGCGCAGTCAGAGGGTGGCAATATCACTCTCTTTAAGAGCTTCTTGGTAGCTTAAGACTGGAAAATTATTCTGAGTGCACAGAGCTGAATATTCTCTAGCTCTTTAGAGAGATACTAAGAGATACTTATACGATGATATTATAATAACTGAAAACAAATCGCATATTTTCTAGTGCTATGGGACACCACTGGTGTTCCAATAACCATAATGAAATTTCACCAGCAAAACTTCATTTTTCTTGTGAAATTTCAGCACAAAGGCTTTTCTTCAGTCACAATTACTTCACACCTCTCTGGAGCTTGCATTTGCTTTTTCAAAATACTGTTCTTCTTTATCTTAGTCCCATCAATGCCCATCCTTGAAAAAAGATACTAAGCCTTTCTAAAATTGGTGATATTGTAGATGAGCTGGGAATTCGTTTCACTGAATTTGTGACCAAAATTGGTACGTCCCATGATGTCCTCTCCAATACTGGCAAATACTTCCCAGGGTATGCCCATCATAAACTCGCCCAACCATGGATTTGCTAGCTTTGGCCTGTTATGCAAACGTCAAATTATCTTGAAATGGATCTCTCTCAATGATCTGGCAACCATACTCCTCAAAGGTAATAAACATTGTGCGTTTGCAAATCTGGATCAATTGCAGTATTTGTCCTCTAGGATTTCTACAGCACTGACAAGCTCTCTGAAGAAGTTGTTTACAAGTCGCATATACCGTATTCATAAATGACCGCCACACGGAACGGTCTGGAACCTAGCACATGAAATCGAGGTCGGAAAGGCCTCAGTAAAGTAAACAACAAAGAAATCATTGCATCATCCAGCTCTTCGTCCGTAGATAGCAACATTATTCTCACCGAGAACGATATACCCGGTGCTTCCTTGAATGGGAGAAATCCTTCATCCTTAAAGAATGAAGAACTGAAGTTTTGGCTAAGGTGCCGCGGTGATTCTCTTAAAGGACTCAAGACTAATGCGTGCTTTGTCAAACGGTGAGCATACGCAACTATTTATACACATGGCTTTGGCAGAACTTTTACATTGATAATCTTTGTTTTTATTATAGGGTCCAAGAATATATCACTTCTAGTCGAGATAAGATGGTAGTAGTAAAGAATATGATGACTTTGAGCGATTCAGGGTCTCTGCTGGTAAAGAACTTGATCGCTTAGGTGCCATGCTTGATGAGATTGCTGTTGAAGTTAACAGAGTTTCCAGGAGCATCGATGAATTTCAAGAGTACAGTTATCAATATAATGTTAAGATTGTTGGTGTCCCTCAATTGAGTCAAGATGAATCCTCGGCTTCTACGAGTGCGCTATGTGAATGTTTATTTAAGGCAATTGGATCCGCTGTATCAATTCATGACATTGACACAGCCCATCGAGTCCCAACGAGAAGCAATGACAATGGATGCCCGCGCCAATCATTTGCCGATTTATTAGACGATTGTCAAAAGATGATGTCATGAATCATAAAAAGAAATGCAAGTAAAGTTGCCCCATCTGCTGTTGGTTTACCTGACGATGCCTCCCTTTCCGCTGTTAGAATTTTTGACCATTTAACGCCAAGGATGCAAAAGGTTTTATTTGAAGCTAAGAGGTTCAAGGAGCAGTTTCACTATCAGTATTGCTGGTCGAAGGGATCGCTTGTTTATCTTCGTAAAGATACCACGTCTCGAGCCATCAAGATTAAGGATATCACGGACCTGCACCGATTAACGAATGGACGTGAAGGCTAAGTATTCATGTTGATGTAGAGTTGTTTGTCTGTTTTAGATAATAAGTATGAGTGTTAGCAAGAAACGTGTTCGTTGTACAATTAAATCTACCCTAAGCGAACTTCCATACGCGAATGTTGAAATTATTAGAGCTCATGGACAGTTTAATAACATTCTCAACAGTGACTTACCGACCAAGAAGTACTTAGACAAACTTCATAGTATTTATGATTTAGATTTGTTCGCTTAAATACCGAATCAACATTAAATCCCGACAGAAACTTAAGCATGCAACAAATTAGATGTAAATATTTCTCACCCTATAGTTTTTCTATGTTTAAAGAGTCTTTGTTGGAATCAGATAGTCAATGTCCTTTCTCTATGCTTCATACTAACGTAAGAAGTTTGCGGAAAAACATTGATAATTTTCAAGTCCATCTTTTAGATGAACTTGACTACCAATTCAGTGTAATCGGTATTACAGAAACAAAAATTCCAAATTCATCTGGGCTAGATTTCAATGCCTGCATACCAAACTATCAGTTTGAATATGTCCCAACACCTCTATCATGTGGAGGTGTTGGAATGTACATTAATAATTGTTTGAAATATAAGGTTCTGGAGAGAACATCTAAAGACGCTTTTCAGGCTTTATGGATCGAAATTGAATCCCTAAAGAGTAAAAATATCGTTTGTGGAGTGATTTATAGGCAGCATAATGATCCGGAACAATTCCTCCATTATGTTGACTTTACTTTAGAAAAACTTAGCTCCTCTGATAAAGTTGTTTATCTTATGGGCGATTTCAATATTGATCTCCTCAAATCTGAAATTTCCGATTACTCCCAAAATTTTTTGTTATCTTTACAATGTTATTCGTTCTTCCCGGTAATTGATAAACCAACTAGAGTCTACAATAATTCTGCCACACTCATTGATAATATATTTCTGAATAGATTTGATCATAAAATTTCAGGTGGAAATATCGTGTCAGACATTAGTGATCACTACTCCCAATTTTGTTTTATCCACAGTCTTATACCAAAAAAAAAATTTTACTGCTAAACATAAAATTCGCGATTATTCCAACTTCTCTGAAGAATGCTTTATTAATGATGTCTTGGATACTGATTGGGATAACTCAATGACATATGGATCTGTAGACAAATGCTTTTCTTCCTTTTACAATAAATTTAACAAGCTCATTAATAAACACGCTCCTCTCAAAATCTTATCTAGGCGCAAGGCTAAACAATTTTCAAACCGTGGATAACTAAGGGCCTACGTAAATCTATCAAAATAAAGAATAGACTCTTTTATTCAGGAGATATCTCAAAATATAAGCTGTATAGGAATAGAATTGTTACTCTTTCTCGTCTCAGTAAAAGATTGTATTATGAAGCTTACTTCACTACAAATCTAAGAAATGAAAAAAAAACGTGGGAGGGATTAATGAACTATTGAACAGACAGCGTAACAGAAAAACAGTATCAGCCCTTCAACGCTCTAACAACTCTGGAGTAACACAAAATCCGTCTGAAATAACCAATATCTTTAATCAGTACTTTGCGTCTATTGGACCGCGGCTTGCACGCAATATATCACCTTCAGGATAAATTTCCAGGACTACCTTGTCGGCACTAATCACTTTAAGTCTTTTTTTTTTCCCCCGTCGTTCCATCCGAGGTGGACTTGGAAATCTTGGCTATACCCAGTAATAAAGTATATGGCCTATATTCTTGCCCGGTTCATCTTTTTAAAATCTGGGCGCCATATCCTTTCTCCACTCTTAGCTGCCATGATGAATAAGTCTATCTCAACGGGTATTTATCCCCATCTTTTGAAGCATGCCAAAGTAATTCCTATCTACAAATCGGGAGACGAAACTGATCCATGTAATTACCGCCCAATTTCCCTCCTTTCTGTCTTCAATCGATTATTTGAGAAATTGATGGCTAAACGTCTTAAATCACATTGCGAAAAAAACGGTATCTTTTTACTTCTCAATATGGATTTAGAGACAAGTGTTCAACCCAACATGCAATTTTAGATATCTTAAGCAAAATTCAAACTAATATTGATGCAAAGTTATTCTCTTGTGGTATTTTTATTGACCTAAAAAAAAGGCTTTTGATACGGTGGATCACTCAATCTTACTGCACAAATTATATCATTATGGAGTCAGAGGAATAATTAATAACTGGTTCTCTTCGTACTTGTTGAACAGGAACCAGTCGACTCAAATTGGTTCAACCGTGTCGAATATAGAAGAGATAGTTTGTGGTGTCCCTCAAGGGTCTGTACTTGGCCCCTTCTCTTTTTGATTTATGTTAACGACATTTACCGTTGCTCCCAGATTTTTGAGTTTTACCTATTTGCTGACGATACTAACTTGCTTTATTCAAACAAAGATCTTAAGGATCTTGAAAAAGTTGTTAATGATGAACTCATAAAAAGTGGGTGACTGGTTGGACATAAAACAAACTTTCTCTTAACACTAGTAAATCTAACTTTGTTATTTTCCATCCTTACCAACGCAAATTGGACTACATAGTTCACTTGAAAATTTATAATAACGATCTTAAAAAAAGTGTATCTCTAGAACAAAAACTTTTGTGAAATATCTAGGAATTCTGATAGATAATAACCTCTCTTGGAAGTATCATATTGATTATATCTCATCTAAAGTTAGTAAAGGAATTGGTATAATTGCCAGGTTAAGACATCTTGTCCCATTTGCCACACTTCTTAACATCTACCGCTCCTTAATTGAACCCTATATCTCTTATGGTCTTATTGCCTGGGGACAAGCTGCTAACACTCATTTAAATAAGGTTCTCATTTTACAAAAACGTGCTCTACGACTAATGTATTTTTGCGGATAGCAAATCTCATAGTGCCCCGCTATTTGTTAACTCCAGAATCTTACCAATAACTATGCTCTATTCTCATTTGGTTTCCTCTTTGATGCATGACATTGATAATCACCGTGCCCGTCTAATATTTCTATGCTCTTTATCCACTCCGAGCAGGTTCATCACCATTTCACAAGATTCTCAGCAACGGCTAATCTGTACGTTAAAGCGTCTAGAACTAACCAACTTTTATTTTCTTTTGCTAGAATAGGTGTAAGATTGTGGAATAGCATCCCAAAAGAACTTCGTATTAAAAACAGAACCCCGTTTAAGCGTGAACTTAAAAATCGCCTGTTAAAACTTTTGGAAATTGAGGAGATGAATGTTGATATACGCTGCTCTGAAATTTGTAAATATCTCTTGATAAAGTAACTCTTCGTTTAAGTCTTGTTTCAATTGTATTATATATCTTGATAACTTTGCAATTGATTATTTAATTATTCAACGGACTTAATTTTATTTTATTTTATTTAACAATTGTATTTTTATTAATGATTATCTTTGTTTAATTGTATCGGTATGTGATCCTTAGCAGAGACAGCACTTGTTTTAGAAGGGTGGCCCGCCTAGAATAGCTTGCTAATTGCGGGTCACCTAGGTCTGTGATAATATTGTATTGCTAACAAATAAAATTGAATTGAATTGTGGTCGATCCAGATAAAGATAAGATTTATACGAAAAGAAAGACCAGGCTTTCAAATCTGCCGGCCGAACACTCCCCTGAACTCCAGCCCCAAAGTATCCAAGCGATGGTTTTTGAGGGCCGAAATGAACCAGCACATTGAAAGTTCTGGGAAGAAAGTGGGTAATGCTGACAATCATTCAATTCCCACGAACTTGAGAAAAGCGAAGACATTTTTAAGGGATGAGTATCTCAAAGATATAGAAGCAAACAGTGTAAAACTGGAAAAGTGGGTTATTGTAACCATGTCCTTGCATTAATGTTTAAAGGATGCAAGTTTAGCTTGTATGACAGCCAGGCAACTGATGACCTGGACAATGAAGATGATGAACAACCCAATTTAGCATGCACTTCACAGCTTCAGAGGTGGCATGCTAAAGGCCGGGGGGAAAACATCCATCCTCAACCAGTCATGGAAGTAACTGTTTCCAAGACAAAGCTCGAAAAAACAAAGACAAGGTAAGGGGTGAAGTCTCTGCTCTATGAAGCCAGGATGAAACCTACTCATGACCTCCAGGCAGAAGCCGATTTGAAGGAGACTCTTCAAGGTATAAACCCACAGTTTGGTTTGTCATTAATGGCTGCAGAAAACTCTCCCCCAGCCTTTGTGCAAACCAAATTTGGTGGGAGCCAGACAGGATCAAGTGAAAAGTGCAAAGTCGCTGTTATAAGTCATTCGTCATCTGCACAGTATATCGACCATCGAGTACTCCATTCAATTTTATAGATGATCTTGCCAACAGTCTTATTGAATCCCTCCTGTCAGGTCTTGATGTCATTATATTGGGTGACCTCAATTGCAACCTCCTTCAAGATAACGCAGAATCCCGTGCTTTAAACGATTTTTGCTCTACTTTTAACCTCACCCAATTAATCAATAAACCAACCAGAGCCACGGAGAATGGGGAATCGTTAATCGATGTTGTGATGACCACGAATGAGAAACTAATTGCTTCAAATGACGTCCTTATGTCAACTATTAGCGATCACAATCTTGTCTACATCTCGCTGAAGTTAAAAAAGCCAAGGATCAAGCCCTGTTACGTCACTATTAGAAGCTATACTAATTACAGCGCTGACAATTTCCTACGTGATTTGTCATTTGCGCCTTTTCACATAATAAGCCTATTTGACGATTTCAACGATCAAGTTGATGTATTCAACGAACTGTTCTTGGAAGTACTAAGTCAACATGCTCCAGTCAAGAGGGTTAAAATTAGATCTAAACCTAACCCGTTTATAACACCAGAAATTCGTCAACTAATGAGAACGCGCGACCAATGGCGCAAACTTGCGGGAAAAACAAATGACCCCTTCCACTGGAACGGATACAGATTTTTTCGTCAAGAAGTGAAAAGGGAGATTCGTGTAGCCAAAAAAGTTCACGTCAGGACTCAGATCCTGGATAGCAATGGAAACCCTAATTCAATTTGGAAAATCATTAACCGGTGTCTACCACGTAAACAACAAGATAGTTTTATGGCTTCTGAGGATCCCACTGGGTTAGCTAACGAATTAAATGATTTCTTCATCTCCGTCGGCAGTATTACTGCTCAAAAAGCCAGGGACTTATCTTTACATCATGGACTTAGTGTAAATTTGGACGTGCCGACTCCTTTACACATATCCACCGACGTTAGCCCCGAATTATTCGTTCTCCATCAAGTCACGGAAAATCAGGTAGAAAGGGTGATTAGAAGCCTACCATCTAACAAAGCTCCTGGAATGGACAAGATATCCTCCAGAATTCTTAAAGACAGCTTACCCAGTACGCTAACAACAATTACCCACATTGTGAATAACTCCTTTGTTACCAACACATTTGCACGTGCATGGAAAACAGCAGAGGTTACACCTATTCTCAAATGCGGTAATCCAGATGTCCCTAACAACTATCGCCCCATCTCATTATTACCAATAGTCTCAAAAAGTCACTGAAAGGTTGGTACATGGACAACTTATGGAGCATCTAATTAGAAATAATAAACTGGCAGCACATCAGAGCGGAAATAGAAAGCTTCACTCGACAGAAACAGCTCTGTTGTACGTTACAGATCAGTTGCTCCAGGCTATGGATAACAAGAAAGTTTCCATCATGGTCTTATTAGACATGTCTAAAGCATTTGATAGTATTCGACACGACATCTTGTTATCCAAGCTACAAAATCTCGATTTTTCCCAGGGTGCGTTGAATTGGTTTCAGAGTTACCTTTCTAACCGACAACAGTGCGTTCGAATAGGTGACGCAGTTTCTAAAAAGTACTCCCACTTGAGTTCGGAGTTCCGCAAGGCTCTATTTTAGGTCCGGTTTTGTTTACAATCTATGTTAACGACCTCCTTTCTGTTCCTAAACGTTGTCTATCTGCCTCCTATGTTGATGACTGTAAATTGTACTTGTCCTTTTCACCTGCCGAATTACCCACGTCCATCCTCGCCTTAAACGAAGATCTTACGAGAATATCTCAATGGTGCTGTAAAAACTCTCTTTTGATTAATCCGGACAAAACTAAGGTTCTAGCTGTTGGATTACCACAACTTTTAAAGAAACTGTCATCTTTCAGTATAACACTTTTTGACAAGGAAATAACACCTGTGCCTGTCGTTAAGGACTTGGGTGTTCTTCTCGACACACACCTCAGTTATAACCAACATATCACTGAGATTGCCTCTAAATGTCTTTTTAAATTGTACCAAATTAACAGAATCAAACACCTCCTGGATAGGAAAACACTTCTGTTAGTAATAAATTCTTTTGTCTTTAGTAAACTCCAATATTGTTCAACTGTCTGGAGTAATACCAGCAGCAGCAATATTGACAAGTTACAAAAAGTCCAAAACTTTGCCGGGCGAATTATTCTGGGACTAAGAAAGTATGACCATATTTCGGATGGGTTGCGATCGTTGAAATGGCTTCCTATTAGAGAGAAACTCATTCTAAATGACGCTACTATGATGCACAAATGTATTAACAAGCTTGTTCCAGACTATCTTGCTGATATGTTTAAATTACGTTCTCAAATCCATAATAGACAAACTCGATCATCTGGTGCTTTGGATATACCTTTATGTCGCCTGTCAACAGGGCAGCGCTCCTTTGCTTTCAGAGGAGCCAAACTCTGGAACTCCTTGAATGATAACATTAAGTCTTTAAAATGCCGCAGGAATTTTAGACGTCATCTTGCAAACGTTTTATTAAGTTGATATATTATATTATTGATATATATTTTGTAATTATAATATTATTGTATTTACATTCTCAATTAATTTATATATTGAGCTGAAAAGCCCACTTAGGGAGCATCAATAAAGTATATGTATGTATGTATATATGTATGTATGTATGTATGTATGTATGATCATTCTGTAGCTATCAGCTAACCCATACAGAGGCAAATTTTAGTGCCACCATTGACATTGCCTCTATACCTCGATTAAACAACTCTCTACCAACCGAACTGACCTACCCAAGATTTCCATTATCTGCAATGGACACATTTGACATTCCTGACAATCTAGACGATGCTGAGAAAGCACTTATTCAGACTCTTGAAGTTAATGAAAATTCTATTAACAGCATTGAATCTGCCACAAGAGAGCAATCAAATTCTGAATGCTGGAAAAATGAGCGCAAATATAGATTCACAGCTTCAAGATTTCAGCTAATAAGTAAGAGGCAAAGGAACCATGACAAGTTTGCAGCTGAGCTCATCCACCCAAAGTCATTCTCTTCAAGACATGTCGAGCACGGACTGAAATATGAGCCAATTGGACTAAGAGAATACGAAAAAGTAATGCTAACCCAAAAGACGCCAGTCAAGGTCCTCAACTGTGGTCTGGTAATTTCACAACACAGGCTAATTCTCGCTGGCTCCCTGATGCAAGGGTTGTCGATTTTGGATGTGAGCGTCACTTTGGACTTGCCGAGGTTAAATGTCCAGAAACTAAATTTCATGTTACCCCTTTGGAGGCTTGTGAAGATCCCACATTCTGCTGTGAAGCTGTCAATGGACATTGTAAACTCAAAAGGAACCATGCTTACTTTCCTCAAGTTCAGGGCCAGATGGGTGTATCTGGAGCACCCTGGTGCGATTTTATTGTATACACCAAGAAAGGGATCTCTGTGGAAAGGATTGCCTTTGACCCTGCATACTGGGCAGAATTAAGGCAAAAGCTTGCATCTTATTATTTTGCTAATTTCATAAAGCATGCAGCAAAGGCAGTGTAAATGCCAGATTCTTTAGGGGTTTTCACTTCATTTCACTTCTTTTGCATAGTAATCCACAAGCAATTTGTAAATTTTTGTGGTCAAAATTAAGTTTTTGTTGTTGTTGTTGTTGTTGTTGTTGTTTCACCATTTTAATTGAATTAGTTTTGCTTTATGTCTTGTCAATGAACACAAGACAATGAAATTTCTCCCTTGCTTTTCATTCATTCATTTTTAATATGCATCAAAGGAGGTAAAAATACCATTTTCCTAAAAAAGGGGCATTATTTTGCAAGGCTACAATATCATTCATTCCTTAAAAAAGATCAATGAGGGATGGGTTTTTATTCTTATTTTGTGAGGTTTAATACCAGTTCTTCCCTTTCGTCATGCAATCAAGTATAATAATAGCAAAGGGGGATTTGTAAATAATTTCTTGTACAGTGTACTGCCATTTCCTTTCTTTGGGCTTGCATTCTACATTGTGTACTTCCACTCAAGTTATCATATTTGCAACAGAACATTTATTGACAATTTATTACAAGTTCAGTGTCTATTTTAATTTTTTGGACCTTTTAAAATGCTACATCTAATCAAGTGCAATGTGTAGTTCCAGAAAATGTCCCTGCCTTCCACAAAGAAGAGATTTTTGATAACCCCCCCTTGTCTAGAAATTGAGCTGAAACTTCAAACATTTCTTGAATTATTTTTTTCCTTTGAGACCCCATCCCCCCCCCCCACTGTGGAATTTCCAATCCCTTCTATTTGGTGGGAGGATGGATATTTTCTGGAACTACACAAATTTGGGTTTATGCAAGGATCTAGAGAGGCTCAAATAAACTTCATTTAGATAGGAAAACTGTACTCCAATGCAAGTATGTCAATGATACAATTATGCACTTATGATGGGATCTTGAAAATTACAAAGCATCGCGCACATACACCTCATTTGATTTACTA